TTGTCGCGGCGCGTGGCTTTCATCGAAAATCCGAAATCATGGTAGCTCGCCAAACGTGGCGTGCCTGTCGGCTCTTCAAAGAGCCGTTCGCAAACGGAACAAGCTAGGGATAAAAACGTTCAACGTCCGCGTCTTCAACTGGAACTAGAAGTTTCGCATCGATTCCGGGGCTGGTGAAACGCTGCCCGCGAAGCTCGCAACGGAACGATAAACTTTTACGTACCGCCGGTTCCATCTTGAATCGCCTTTAAAACTCCCGTTTGCCTTCCGAACTTCAAAGTTCCCTTTTATCTTCGACTTGTCCCTGCCTCTCCTGCGGGACTCTCGAATTTACTTACCAACGAAATCCTCTCCCCTCGTATACGCCCACCGCCATTACGCGACCCCTGGAAACATTCTACTGTACATTTTATGCGTTAACCGCTTGCCAAACGCTGTAAAACGTTTCGTCCGATGGCTGGATAAAAAGATTCCCGAGGTTTTTCCTTCTTCCTGGCGAGTTTGAACACTGGAACAACTGGATAGATGAAATTACATTCCTGATTTGTACTTTTACAATAACTGGAAAGATGTAGATGCTTCTTTGAAGGATTACTGAAGAAATTGATGCTTGATCAAGATATTGAAAGACATTTTACTAATGGCATTATTATAATTTCTATGAAAAAAGTTGTAAACTTTTATAATTGTAGTGTTAATTTATTTCTATTCCTTCTTCGAGGCATTCATGAGAATATAGAACGCTGCAGAAATTTCATGGATTATGAAATCTAGTTTATTAACGCGAGGAAATAATTATATTGCAACAAGATACGCGTCAGATTTGTTATGTTTTTACAATTTAATTAATAATCTGGACCTTTGTCATGTTCTCACAGTTTAATTAATAATCTGGACCTTTGTGGGGAATCAGAATTTTCTAATTAACTTCAAAGATATAATTGATAGTACGTTAGAATAATTTCGCTCATTTAATTAGAAATTTACCTCGCTTCCTTTTAATCAGGTACCAACAAATAATAATTTCGTTTGAAAGATGTAGCCAAAATTTAAACAAATTCTCTGTATCCACTGGCATTCCCGTTTTTAAAGGTGTGCTGTGTCCACAGCGAAACGAAACGCAAACACCGCGGAATTCCGAGGAAGTTGGCGCAGAGGATACAACACCTGACCGCAGATCCGTCGTACGAAATTTCGCCGGTCCGCGAATAGTTTCGAAGGATCGTGCTGGAATTCCGCGAGTTTCCAGCGTAGAACGGTCACCACTCGGCCTGTGAACGAATTTTGTAACTCATCGCGGTCATTGATATTGTTACGGCATAGGAGATCATTTTAAATGGTCGGAAATTGTTGGTTTTCACGATTTAATGTTGTTTAGCGTTTTACACTAGACGTACGAGTCAACAGTAACTGATGACAATAAATGAAAATGTTCACTAAAACGCTGTTAGCAAGGAAAATGGCAGGGTAGTAAGTCCAATATGACAAAGTATTTGTAAAACACTGAATTTTTATAGCAAAATACCTCGAAGAATATTTCATTTTCAATGATAATATCTTAAACTTCTTTTACGTAACATGACGCAAAGAAAGGATATATGAAAGAAAGCGTAGAGTTTTATGTAAAACAAGTCCAGCTGCACTTTACAACTGCATCACTGCATTTCTGAAAAAACTGGTATTGTAGTATGATAAAACCTATCAAATAGTGTAAAGTTCTTCTTCGTTTTTCTTCTAACTTTAAGGAACAAAATTGTAGCCTTCCTTAATTATTATATATTTAGATTCACATATACAACCTGTATATATGAATTGATAGAGTGCTTCGTAATCAGTGGTTTACGGTCGAACAATAAGGAAACTGTACTAGTTTTGCGTATCAGAGGAACAATAGAGAGGTTGTTACACTTCTGAATAATCTGCAACTTAGAATGGGACAGTAGGGAATTTGTTATAACTCTTAGGAGTCAGTGTTTCCTAGAAGCCGTTTATTTTGAGTAATAACAATATCAAACGCTAAGCCACTTATCGTTAACTGACGCTTCATTGAAACGAGCTGTTATTCTCTCCGATCTGTAAATCAAAATATATCTTTCCCCCGGGATCACAAGTTTCCCAAAATTTATTATTCAAGAGAGGAGAATGCTTCATACGCAATCGCCAGAAAAGGATTCTCGCAATCTCGAGCGCTGATTTATGAACGCTGATCCGATGTTTCGATGTTGACAGCATAAAACTTGATGTATCTTGCTGTTCCCCACCGGGAAATTCAATTACGATGATGAGAGAATGCAACGTATCTTGTCTGACTTCAAACGACAGGTTCTCTAATTAACTCTTTGATTGCGTGCGGCGCCTAAAGGCTTGTTTGTTGATGCACGTGACACCTGGAGATCATTGTATACCGCGCAGAACGAGTCACTCATTGGAGTCGAAAAAGTGAGAGGATTATTCTGATCCCACGGACCGCAAAATAAGCGATAGTCGCAATTTTCTTTGGCGAAGGAAATGAATTCGTCGACTGGAAATGAAATGTAATTTGAATTTAGCGATACGTGTTCCTCGAGCGACTGCGTTGGCGATGAATATAAAGATATTCCGAATATATAGAAAAAGAATGAATACAGAAACAAATGAATATACAGAAAGATCTCTTTTTTTTCGTCATATTAATTATCAACATTGATACATATAATAATACATATAATAATACAAATTATAGTTTCAATTCTTTTCATCCACTTACTGCTTACACAGGAGAATTCAGAAAATGTCAGATTCGTCGAACAAGTAGTCTCCCCGTTTTCAATAACGCCATTCGTGGCAACGCATGCCAAGCAAAACGAGAAACCAGTACCAGCCCCTCGCTCCTTCGGTAGTTCCCATCGGGCGAACTTTGTCGAATTTCATTGTAAAAGTTGCGCAACGCCTTCTGAAAAGTTCATGCCTCCGAGGACCGAAACAGATAAAATAAATCGACCTTTAACCAGAACGACCCTTTAAACTCTGGCGAGCAAGAATTCCAATTTAAAAGCGAACTCCCGAATTTCCGGGGGAATCTCGCGCGTAACGGTGACACGGTTGCCCTCCATTTATTATGCTTTACACAGGCCACGGCTCGTCACGTGACAAATGAACCGCGGCGGGAACAATACAGAGCGGCGCGGAAGAAAAGGGAAGAAGAAATATACGCGTTCAGTGGAAATGTACGACGTGCCGGGGCGCGAAACTTCCCGAACGGAATTTCGGCGATTCGTCACCGCGGACTCGGTCGGGAGGAAACGATATGCCGGCTCACGGCTGCCAAGCCATCCGGCCGGCTATGGTCCTCGGTGAATCATGTCTCGCGAAAGGATTGGCACGCGCTTCTTCTCTGACGGCGCGTGTCTATGAATAACGCTGTCCGCCGATTCTGACAGCGTGCCGACGACATTCACGCGTGGACACGAGAGATAACCCTCCAGGAATCGCGTCTGGAGGATCTAGAAGCTCGGGCCGATCCTAACACTAAAACCTATCGAGCAATTAGAATGACTTGTTGCCAAGTTTTTCTACAAATTAGAACATGTTTCTTGAGATTCGATCGGTCTCCTAGTTTTGTATCTATGCAAATGTACGAATTTAATTGAAAATCTTTCGCAAAAACGCTTTGTCGTTTAAATACGTCCAAAAGAAACGTTCTGAAGTGGGTGAATTTGACAGTTGCGTAGTTTTAGTGCTAAGGGAGGATAGTTGAGATTTCGGAATGTTTGCTGTTACTTCTTGTTTCGTAGCTTAACCTATTCGGGATCAAACTGTTTTTAACCAGGTAACTGTTGCGACTTCTTTGAAAATTGTGTACCTAACATGTGCCGGGACAAGTAAGTTGTAGCTGTTTTTGACGAATACACTCGTCGTAACACGAAATCTTGATATTTCTTTATGACGAGTATACTCGTGAAACACAGCTAACTGGTTAGAAGACGGTCCCTAAGAGTCGAAACTTCTTTTCGGTTTATATTGACAGTTTAGAAAGAATATTTGTTGTCTTGGGAAAATATTGCGAGGTTTTAGCTTAAAGTTTTAATCTTTACAAGCCGTTAATTTTTTATTTATTTGTGTGCGATGAGTCTTTTCGACGAAGTACTGCATTACAGGTTTGGAATGGGTTAATATCGTGTCAGGCTCGTGGTGAAGGTTTCGAACAGAATTTGAGAAATATAAATGTTGGTAAATTCTTTGGAATTGATATTGAATATTATTCTCTTATTGTTAACTGTTATACTTTAGAACAAACGAAGACGTAGAAAGTGCCTGGAATTGTTCTCTTTTTTCAATAAATTGTTAATGAAAAAGTAGTTGTTTACAGTTGAGAAAGGAATTGTAGTGTAAGGGACTACAGGATTTCGCGCGAAATAATTTTGATCGATTCTTTCGAATTTGTATTTTGTGTATTGCACATTTCAAGGAGAAAACTTCAAACAGTTGAAATTGAGAAATATGGTTCCATAAAGAATTCCATTGGAATTCGAATAAAATAAAGATTCTTTCGTGCTGTTTTGATGTTTGTATTTTATTGACTTTTGGTTTAGTATTATATTATCTGTTTGCCTCTAAAGAATTATGTAGCGAGACAGTGCCTCTTTAATTTTCATTCAAGGAAGATTTAACAGGCTACTTGCCAACAAGCATTGGCATCGGAACGTCCAACTCGTGGAACTATATTTTCTAGCAATTTTTCTCGTGTGGGTAGTAATTGTATACCTATAAACTGTACATTCTAAGAAGCATCGGGATGCATTTATTTCTTTTTGCTACGCTTATAAGCCTTAGTCAGAAGTTTTAAATAATTAAAGACGAATTTCTTGGAACGAGATATTGAGGAACATAGGATCCAGAAGAGAAGCCTCCAGTTCTATTAAAACTAATATTTTATTTCAAAAAGAGATGTATTTTGAAAATATTATCGGGTTTTCGCAAATTATGATGATAGTAACATGTTATTTTCTATCTGTTTGCAGTGGAGAAGGGGGTCCTAGACCAAAGCAACGAGAGCCAGCAGGTGATCGAGAGGTGTTACCCTCTGCCACCTCAGAACCCATTGATGCTGTCGGAGCTGCCGGAACCGCCGATACCGTTGAGCGAGATCGGGCCAATCCCGCCCCCGCCGATGTTCAGTTCTTCGAGTCCTACTCTATTGTTGGCCAAGCAACGACAGATACGTAACACTTTGTCGTCGGATTACGAGGACGAAGGTATGCGAACATACTTATTCATTCTTTAAATAATTTTAATTCCCAAACATGCCGCAAATAACTTTTTACGTCTGACAAAGTATTAACACGAATGCCATGGTGGTCACCGGTGACCCTCAACCAAATCGAATTACTATAGTTCATTGAATTAAACGATGATTATCTGGAAACATTTGTACATTACAAATAATGCTATATAATCCGGTGACATTCAGCTCGATGAATATGCAGTAATAATAATGGAATTCAATCTAATGATTGAATATTAAATTCTTTCCGTTTTGTGGATTTTGCTTTGTGAAATCGTGCGGCGTTCGGTAATATTTAATACTCTCAATATATTAGAACAATTTGTTCCTTTTTCCTTTTACTAGATAAAAAATAATATTGACTATATTTTCTTCCTTGTTTAGTAAAACGAATTCTTGTTTATGAGATAATTTTCTATTTTTTTTAAGTATTAATTGAAGTATATGTATGTTATCTCTTGAGTAGAAATGCTATTCTTAATAATTCATATGGAGTTAGGTATCATAGCCACATCAAGGGATACCAGTTCCCGTCGATCAAGCGGGTTAAACAGCATTGGTTAGGGTTTTATGCAGAGATGAGTTAACCGCTCATTTTAATACCTTTCATCAGTATTCAGCAATCTTGTCTGACTTTATGCATAAGTTTAATCTCTTGGTTACGTATTCTCTTGTCAGTGTTTATCTGATATAACTCATTTAATTAAAAGTTTTCCCCTTCAATTGTTGAATTTATTCCTAATTAATTTCATTTATTCGTGGAGTACTCAAATGATTCAGTCATTAATGAAATTACATGACACAAAGGGAGTAATTCGAAATTAATTGAAATTATTATTCCCTTAAATTTAATATGAATTTAAATAGTTATTGTTACTGAAGGGAAGAATATTAGTTATAAATGTTACAATTCAAATTCAGAATAGAGTCATTAACAAATAAAGAAACTTCAAAAGATAATATTCATAAACCAATATAATATTCACATTTTCAACGACAATATTGGATATTCCTCCCACGTATAGTCTCTCACAGTCTTGTAACATGTAATCTCCATGTTTCCACGAACGTAGATTGCAATAATAATCTCCTTATTCTATATTCGCAGACTACGTGTAATCTTCGTGTTCCACACTTACTACTAGTAGTATACCATACGTGCATTCCCGCCATGTTCTACAATTCTACTATGCAGCATGCTCTTTCGTATTCCGCACTCGTAATCCTGCAAAATGTTCCTCTTATTTTAAAATAATCCTCGCGTTCTGCATTACCATTCCACGATATATATTCTTTGTATTCCAACCATTTACACTGTCCAACACATATTCTTCGTATTCCAACCATTTACACTGTCCAACACATATTCTTTGTATTCCAACCATTTACACTGTCCAACACATACTTTGTATTTCAATAACCAATCGGAAATTCCTGCAGTATCTCCACATATACACAATACTAAAATTTCTTCGTCGTGCACTGTTTTCAAGAAATTTCTTTGCCAGAGAAAAATGAAATTTTAACACTGAAACTACCGGACGGGTCAAATTGACTCATTTCAAAGTTTTTATTTTGTAAATATTCAAATTATGAAGACACGTTTGCAAAAAATTGTTTATTAAATAAACCCTTCGAATCTCGAGAAAATTATTGTTCTAATTTTTATAGAAAATTATAAATTAGCTACTGTAACTGTTCGGTAGTTTTAATGTTCAACTGAAAGACTTTATTGTTTCCTTTTAACATTGAATTTTTTAAGAACTACTCGATGAAATAATAGAATTTACAAGAATCGATTATTGAATTTTGAAATATAGAAAGAAAAATTCGAAATCGTTGTTAGCGTAAGTTTTTGATAGTTGGATTAAAATTAGCTTTATATCTTAATTACGTTTTTCGAATAGTGGTTCACGAGAGATGTATAACATACTAATTAATTTCTTTTATTGGCAATGCGGTGCAGAATCCTCTCACATTTTAATATATTTCAAAATATCAATATGGGTCCTGTGGTTAAACCGGGCTTACTATACGTTTCACGATGTATTCAGTTAATCCTCTTACAACACATACAGCGTTGTAACACATACACTCTTACAAAAATTGCGGCAGCGTTTCTGTAACACGATATCCTCACAAAACGTTTTCCATATGATACAATGTAATAAACTTAGTCAACAGCTCATACACTGAAAATGTTTCCAGTGACCAGCTTAGTTGTCGGTACTCTTATCACTGTCAACCGTGCATTTTTCTACAGTTAACTAAAACTTTCATAAAGCATAGAAGATGTTTTGTACAATAAATAATGATTTAATAGCAATGATTCTGTATTTTCTGTGTGACTATAAAAAGAATAAGACTAAAAGCAAAAAAAGGAAGTAAAGAAGTCAAAAGACAACTCCTTACTGCATTCTGGTAGTAATATGTAGAACATATATTATAACACGGTTTTGATATAACGTGACATAAACGAATGAATTCTTGTAAAAAACCTATAACAGCTATCAATAATAGCAATTATAATACTGATAATATCGAAAGATAACATCATTATAACATTCAACGTAATGTTAAGTATTCCTTTAAAACTTTCAAACTTTCTTTCTCCTGAATGTGATGTCATTTACAATCTTTCTTAAAAAGTTTTCAATTAATCCTGTTACAATAGTAGAGTTAACTATTTCATGTATTCAACGATCACATTCTTTGTATCGTTCGCAGAGGACGAAGAGGACTTCGACGTGGAGGAGGAGGACAACATGTTCGTGTTCAGGATGACCCAACCGGATCCCGGCATCGACACGTCGAGGGTCGAACAGATCCCGGCGAAGGAGCCTAAGTTTCACGCGGTGCCCCTGAAGAGCGTGCTAAAGAAGAGGGGCTCGGGCAGCGGGCCCGGCACACCGCAGAACACTCCGACGCAAGAGAACAGGACGTTGACACTCCGCCAGGAACTGCACGCCTCCTTCAAGTTAGTGGAACCACAACCAACTCCTCGAACCTTGGCCCCACAGATTTCCTTCATTATCGAAAGATTCGACGACGATCGTTCGCAGAACAATCCCAATTTGAAATACCCGACGATATCGAACCTTGAATCGTCGATTGAACTCCCCTCTCCTAGAGATCATTAACTTACAACCAATTAGTCGTCGAGTCTTTCCATTCGTCGAACGACAAAGATACGTCGCGAAGATTGCACGTCTTCTTCAAGATCCGAAGACGTTCGAGCAACGAAACAATCGCCATTCTCGATTCGATTCTGTTTCCAATTTAAACGTCCCTCTCTTAGACGGTTTTTTAAATGGCGCCGCGATAAAAAGGGAAGTCCCGGGCGGCAGCCGGCTTTAATTACCGCCGGGAGTTTAATGAAAACGTCTCGAAACGTCTCCGTCCTGAAGAGGCCGACTCGGCTCGTCTGGAACATCGTTCTTCCACCTTCTGGCCACGTCATTTTCTTTCACGCGCGCATGCACCGTGCTCTACCGCATTATCTCTCTCTCATTCTCTTTCTGTCTCGCTTCTATCAAGTTCCGCCGATCATTTTTGTTCACCACGGAACCGAGGCGCAGCGCTTGTTTCGGGATTCTCGTCTCGATGAGCGTCCTTTGTACGACGCAGCCCGCTTCGACGAGCGGATCTCCTTGTTACGAATCGGATTCGAAGGAATACAGGCTGCCCCATCAATATTCTTTTCCTTTTGTCTGGATAGAAGTCAGTGTATTTTATTGAAATGATTTTTAGACGAATTATGCGCACGAGAGAATAAGTGGGATTTATGAATGTGGCTTTTTATGAATAAAAATTGGAGAGGGAGGTGTAAGTAGAATCGCGAATGGTTTATTCGAAAGTGATAACCAGACTGCGGATGTTCACGAATTAATAGCTAACAGAGATTTTCGAGGATGTTTGAAATATGAGATTCAGTTGAATTTTATACAGTTCTATCGTGGTGTTTTCTATTTGTCGCAATTGACAGTGCGGTGGATCAAATTCTGTTCAATTTTGACTCGCTTTTGAGAAATATTCGCATTTTCTTTATAATTTTAATATAGGGAACAGTATTGGGGAAATAGTATCAAGGATATTGATAAAGAGATGGGGTTAGATAAAATATATTTGCTAAATACTGCACAAATAGTCAAACATAAACGAATCAATATTTACATGAGAATGTTAAAAAACATTTATTCGTGAAATACACCGAGACTTTTTGTTACACAAACAGTATGGGGCACCTGGTATCTTCAAGTTTGATTTATAGTTCATTAATAAACACTGCACACGCTCGAACCGAAACAGAGGCGCGAAGACAAGATTTGTCGATCCGGATCGTGTACATCGAAGGGATCGAGAACGATGCTCCACGTAAACCGCGCACATTATCATCGCCATATATCAGTCACGAGTAAAGTGTCGTATTTTTCTTATGCTTAACCAGAAGGCCAGCGTTGAGGCCTAGGATGAGAATATGGTAATTGGGCATTGGTCTAACTAAGCATGCGCGAACCGACACGGTATATATAAACGTATATAAATATACGTGCATACAATAAATATTTGTCTTATATCCACGGCGGTTGATCGCAGAGAACGAGACCACGTTTTCTACTCTTCTCTGTCCTCCTATCCGTTCTTTACCTTATTACCATCACTGCTACACCGATAGTTCAGCGGGCAATCAGCTCCGGACATATTCGAAGTTCCACGAAGAAAAGTTCGAATCACTTCGAGAAACGCTCGAACTCGTAAAAGCTTGCCAGCTCTCGCGAGAAGTTCGAAGTTTCACGGGAATTTGTACCTCATTTGCTACTCTCTTACATTATCTGCTAAAAGCGCGAGAATTGGCCTGTTTCGTTGAAGAAAAAGAAAGAAACTATTCATTTGCGAATATTCAGTGGAATTTGTTCATTTGAACAGAAGTACTTGCTTCTACGAACTGAATATTAATTAATAGTCTTTTAATATTGTAAAATAACACAACAGAATTATATCATTTAAAATTCAATATTAAATTTTGTATAACGTACCAACGCGCGGAACGTTGAAATAAAATAACTCTGTTCCTTAACTTATGCAAGATTTTTCTTCGCATTAGTTGCAAGTATGATAAATATTGTCCTAAAATAATGAATATTTCTTTGGTTTAGATAAAAAAATGCCTCTAATCGAGGGAATTAAGAATATCCTGAATCAAACTTCATTCTTTTATTCGACGATGTAGTACATTTTTAATTGAAACTTTATGCTTAACACGTGTCCAACACTTATCTGATCATTTTATTCAATACAGTAGATACTGTTTAATTAAAAACATAGCAAGTTCTGTCAGGAGATGCATCAATTGTTCGAAAATATTGGATTTGACCGCTGCTCTATCCTCACTCCCTCCAAACCCGTCTCTCCACTTTGTTACTATTTTTTCTCTGTGTGTCAGCGTGACGAGCGCCGTGAGCATGGTAAAGTTGCGCCCTTAAGCATGAGAAAACCGTAGGGAAACCCATTGTATACTGTCGCCTACGCTTCACACGTGCCATTGATCTTTCACGCGCGAGAACCTCGAACCATCGATCGACGAAAACGAGGATTCTCAGGTACACGTTGAGGCGCGACGACGAAACGAGCTTCCGAGGTGAAGCTGGAAGTCTCGAGCCTCTCAGAACCGAAGAACAATCACACTCTCCCGATTTATATCGTTTTTCTCCCGATCGACATACCTTTTTCTTGATCATTTAGCCTGTATTTCGACTAAAGCGGTTTCAACGCTGCGAGATCGTGTTCAAACCGAAACCGAATCGAAACAGCAAAACTTGAAACACTGAAAAACTTATTTTCCATTTGAAATACTTTTGTCCGGAACGCGAGACTGCGAAATACTCGATACTTCCAATGATCCTTCTCTCTTTTTTCTTACACTTGTGCACGAGATGTTTTTGAACATTTTAATTAATGCAACATCGACAAGCCCTTTTGTACATTATTATCGTACTTTTATAATAGTAACGTATTTCGTAAGTGTCTATTATTGTGTCTTGATATTTTACAATTTCTTTTTCAATATCCGCTTATGTGTGTTACCACCCTTAAGTATTTACGTATATATCGTAGAGACAATACGAGGAACGGGAAGTTGATCGAAAGTGTCTCCTACCCTCGATACTTCTCCACCCCTTGAGCCATCGTATTTGTAAAAGAGATTCCAACAGTACAGGGTGTTTCACAATTAAACAAAACTTTAAACATTCCACGCGATACATATATTCATTGCAATCATTCAATGTTCCATTATACTATATTCCATCATGTCATATTCAATAATTATTCTTCAATTTCCTACTCTTTTCTATCTCACAGTTCTCGCTCTTAGAAACGTAACAACAACAATGGTCGCTCGTTTAATTATAAAACACCCGGTACAAAGTTTCCTGTTCGAACCGATTTAGCTAAGAGTACCCTCTCTGTACATTGATTCACCCCCTTGACTGTGTCTTTGAAATCTTGGATCCCGAGGATGGCAACAGTGAAACGTTGGTTTTAATTTCCATACGAAGAAACGGAAATTGGAACAAATAAGGGGAACGGGAACAGTTTTTCTCTCTTTCTCTCTCTCTCTCTGTCCGCGCATTGTCCCAACGATTTCCCGACAAACTGTGAACACGGGGGTGAAACAGAGGAACGAGGAAAAAACGAGTTGAAGAGGATTCGCGTCGCGAAGGGAACAGTTATCTGCGTCGACGTCGTTGATAACCCAATTCGGGACGACGTCGGACTCCGTTTCAGAGCACCGCAAGTTGCTTCTGTTATCTTCATCAACGTCACACCGTGCATTCTCCATTCTGCCCGGCCCCCTACGCCTCACACCCCACCTTTTATTACTGGCGTTGTTTCATCCCCTCCATATGCATCTCGTACTTGAAACGTCGTAGAGTAGAACATTGATTCGTGTAGAGTCGACGGTTGGATCGACCGGGAGAATCGATTCCGAGGGTGAATATCACCCTTGTTACGTCGCAAACGTTGAACTTGCTGTAAATAATGCGTAGGAGAATGTTAATAGGACAATATAGTAATTGAAGAATTTTTATGGAAAACATTGAATTTCAAAACTGAAAAATTTCCTTTTTGTATTTATTATTCTATAGTATACGATTTGATTCACCTTTCTAAGTAATCATTAATGATAGCAGTTATTCGTAATACCGATAGTATCGAAAAATGACGAAATTATATCACGTTGAACGTAATGTTAATTAACTTCCTTCCTCCTACTCGAAAAATTTGATGTTTGGAACTTGCAATCCTTTCGACAAATACTTTTCAGTCGAGTTTATGGAAAGTTTAAAGGAATCTCCATATATAGCTCTGTAAATTTGTAGAAAATGCATTTGAGTCATTTTTATTAGAGTGATTCTATACATCGTAGATTTGTCGATCACTTTTACAGTCACGATGAAAAAGTATTAACAATGTACATACTGATTAATAATTAATACTTGATACTTCATAAACTCAAATTTGTTGAAAGAAAATTCGAAGAACCTTTTTGTGAAAATTCTTATGGCCAAAGAATTTCTGTATGAAAGATGACGGAGTGGTCCTCCGAGTCGATTCTCTCACCGATCCAATTTTACGCGAGGGGACGTACTAACATTTTTCTTCGACGATCATTTCAGTAGTCGACCGGTCAGGTTCGGCCTCGCCCTGCCCTGCACTCTGGAGAACAAAGAGAACGCGAGACCGTATGTCATACGGGAGGATGTTGACGGGGATCCTGGCGATGGACAGGTACTTTATAGGGAAGAGTACGACGACGAGAAAAGTGAGTATTCGATTTTCGTATCTGTATTACCTGGCTTTCTTATCGTCATCGAACGAACTGTAATTCTGTTAAAACTTCCAAACGAAGAAAATAATTATTCATTTGAATTCAACGATCGCTCACGGAATCTTTAATCCGAACAAGATATCGCCTATAGATGTTTAATAATCGTTCTTCCGGTTCAAATGCATCGATGAACGCAAGAATCATCAAGCAGTCCCTCCGCAATCTCAAATGGAAGGGATCATCGAAGAAACTTTGGCAAATCACCGGCCGATTTGCCAAAGACCTTAGTCCCGGCTTTCGCGGGTACTAATTATAATCGCGCCGCGATACATCGTTCTCCGCGCACACAGACGGCTGATCGCGCAAACATCTCGAAGGTTATATTAATCCTCGAAGATAGCTGGCGCGTAGCTCAGTGTGTTTCTGGCCGTTGTTTTGCCACGGTTTTCCGCGAACCGCGTCTCGATCCGCCATGGGATCAACGATTCGAATTTCCGATCAATAATCTATCTATTCGGTAAAACAACAATAGGTTCCATTATAATTATTTTCGGAGTGGTTGATTCGCCGTGTCCTTTTAATCGAATCGATGAATCCACGATCTCCCTTCAGTGTTTATCTTCCTTCGTTCGAGAGGATTGAGTCTGCGATAAGATACTTTTGAAGTTACCAAGTGTGCTCACGAGAAAGTCGTTAGTTCGCGTGTGGAGGAGAAGTTGGAAAGAGTGAAGATTAAGTGAAAAAAACACAGAGAGATGCCACTATGCTGTCGATCTGGACCGCGTCGACTTTGTCGATCGCCTGCGCCACGATCGAGCCGCGTAAACTCGAGCCGCCATTGCACCGCAGCCTCAGCCGCTCCTCAGTCGGCGACGGTAAATCGCGCTCGAAATAGAATAAAACGTTTCGACGAAAGATTATTGCGTGGCCACCGCATCGATAATAGCCTCTAGTATTCGACCAGTCGATGGTTCGACGCGTATACGTCGCTCCACACCGGTGGCGCGCACAGTTCCGCTGCGATCGAGCGTGGATCCAGGAAAGCATGTCCACCTGCGAGGACGTTTATAATCTTTGTTTGTTACTTCATTTTCACCTTGAAATAAGTCGTTATTCAGTTAATACTGCAACGATAATGTTGCTTTTCGTGAAACTCTTTGGGGCTTATTCACTTATCGTCTGGACAAGTCCAGATCTGATGGAGAATCGAGGAGTGAAAGATTCTGTGGCTATTGTGATCGATTTGAGATTTTTAAAGGAAAAATGAAATTTAATTTAATTAAACTTATCTAAATGTTTGTGCTATTTGACTCGTAGTGATGATTATAGAAAAATGTGTTTTTTCAATTAAAAAAGTTTTATCAGTTTTAATCAAACGAAAATATGTCATAATTAGTAAAGTGAAATTAATGAGATGAAACTCCCGATTCATCCTCGAGTTTCATCAAAGAACTATTCCCCGTTTAAGAAATTCTGTCTATTTTATTTGTTTAATTCTGACTCTGGATCCCTGGCGAAATAACAGATTACAGATCTGTCAGAAACAGAAAAATTTCTATTCGCACGCGGTTCGTGCAAGGTTGTCGTCGTAATTATGTAGATGGCTGACCATTTTTCAAATTGCAGGCCGGCTGGCAGCAAAGATTGCGCGCAAGGAGTCGCTGTCGCTGAAACTCGCCCTCAGGCCGGACAGGCAGGAGCTCATCAACAGAAACATCCTTCAGCTGCAGACGGACAATGAGAGGCAGGAAACGAAGGAGGCAATTGGTGCCAAGCTCATCAGGTGAAAAGATTCTTCGTCCTTTCTTTGGGTTTCCTTCTTTTCCCCTTCGCGTTGGAAAGACGGAGACCGCGTTTCTTCGATCGAACAAAAGGGATAGGAAGAGTTTTCGAAAGCACTGATTCCTACCAGTGAAAGGTTTCGAAGCTCGTTTCGAAAAGCATTTCCAAAATTCATTCGAGAATTTTCCCAAAACTAGTTGAAAATTAATTACCGATCACACCTTTGAATATAACTCCTTTTCTTTACAACATATTCATTCTTCTCTTTAAAACTTCACGTTTGCCTAACAAAAACAATTCTTCCATATCTTCACTCGCTCAAATTTTCAATCTACCCTCAACTTGTCTAATCTTGCTTCTTCCAACGATATAAACTAAACAATCTGAATAGTTCCAAAGAAAGCAGACATCTCACTTCTGTTCATCGAATTTATTCGTTGCCCCCATTCGTTGTCCACTATTCGAACAGTCTATAATCCTCTTTGTTCCAATCAACATCCATCGTCGGCTAAATAACAAAACATTTGAAGCCTCTCGAAATAGGAACGGGCAAAAAAGAAAGCGAAGGTTTGGTTTATTCTACCCGGAAAAGCGAAACCCATCCCGCGCCGAGAAAGAATGGGAAAAGTGGTTCATGTATTATTGAATCGGGCCGTCCTCAGCCCCGAAATGAAATCGGGGAAAAATGGCGGGTAAAGAGGAAATCGTGGCGGTATTATTCAAACGGTAGCTATTGATCGCGGCCATTGAAACGCGCCGCGTGTATCTCGCGCGGCCCTGAATAGGCGCTGCGCTGCCCATAGAAAACGGAGCCAGTCCGAGCGCTCGAGATATCGATTGCCGGCCGCCGGAATTACCATTTCACGCGGATCGGCTCGACACCGCGGGGCGCAGCGCGATTCCTAAATTTAGGAATCTACCGGGAACACGGGAATTTGTTTCCGCGGTGAAAACGGGGCCCAAGGCATCTGCGAATTCCGACGCGATCGCGAATAGCTGTTTGCGAATCGACATCTTACCCCGAAACGTCCCAGACAACCTGATCTGTCTCGCCTTCGATCGTTTGGTTGTTTAAAAATGACGCATCTTTTATGAGATTTTTTTGTTTTAAATCAATTTTTTATTTTCTACTAGACGTTGAACGTGTGGTTTGAGATGTCTGTCTGTCTTTCGTTTTAAAAGTTTCTTAGTTTTGTATACTAATCGATAATGGATGGATATGACCTATCGATTCTTCAGTCTGAACGATTTTTAGTTTTGATCGCCGACGTTTGGAGATGTAATCTACCGATTTTTTGTTGGGAATGATTTTTGGTTTTCCTCTGGTTGCTAAATTATCGTTTGAAATGTAATGAATTTATTCATTTTAAACAGTTTTCAATTTTCTATTGGTCGTTGAACGTATTATTTGAGATGTAGCCTATCGATGTTTCATTTTAGACGACCTTTAGTTTTGTAGTCATCGATAACGCATCGAGATATGACCTATCGATTTTTCATTATAAATAATTTTCAGTTATCCGGTAATTTGTCGAGATATAATTTTACATTTTTGTTATAATTATTAATTCGTTATAAATAATTTCCAACTTTGTACTGACCGGTAAACGTGTTATTTAAAATGTAATCTATCACTTATTCATTTGAAACAATTTCCAATTTTGCCGATTTGTTTATTTTAAAAAATTTCCTGTGAATTGTTGAATGTATCGAGTTTCATTCTGTCGATTCTGTTTGTTAAATAGATTAAAGTTATTTGAGGTAATACTCTTATAGCGTGTCGATTGTGTTCCTTTACTGTTATAATTGTACCTTGTGATCGGATTTATTTAGTTTCACGGTCGACCCAAGACGGACGTTTAGTCTATTCGTTGTTTAAATTATTAAAAGGAGATGCACTCATTTTATACCCTGTGATCGGATTTATTTGCTTTGAAGGTCGAACGAAACTCAGGCATATTTTCATCTACCCTCGTAATTTATATCTCGAACTATCTGGTTCTTATCTATGCATTTCCTAGTATTTCCGTACTAATATCTTTCCGAAATGTTCAATCCAAGCGTAACCTACCTGTTCATCGATAAACGAATTCTTCTTACCCGTACACATCTAATCTATTTTCCTTTTCATTTCTTTAAACCGAATTTATCTAATCCCCTGTCTATTAAAATATAATCTAACTTATCGGTTTTCCCAAACTCACATTAATTATTTCCAGACAGACTCGAGTCTAGTCTATCTATATCTCGATGCATCTGGTTTTAATCTATCCACCTCCTTGATGCATTTATTTCTGGTCGATTTACATTTTGATCGATCTAGTTTTGATTTATGCGTAACTAGATTCATCTCGTTATAATCTTTCCTTCCTTATAAAACAATATTTCCTTGTAAAATACCCTTTCTTTAATCTTTCAAAATATAACTCTAGTTTACTTATTCGTCGATCTGTTCGCGTCTATCGCTATTTATCCGGAAGATATTTGTTCTCGATTGTCCTAACCAATTTCTTCGAAGACTACAATTATTCCCGAGAACAGTTGACCACCGTGAAGCGGCTAGTTCGTTTTCACAAGTATCAGTGAACTTCTTGATCGTTCGAAAACTCTCGAGAAAAGCGGATTAACACTGGTAGACTTGCACTGACTCCTGTGGCATTGTCATTGCAGGCGGCTGAGCATGCGGCCAACCCAAGAGGAACTCGAGGAGCGGAATATCTTGAAAAGTAAGCCCTCAGTCGAATCGGATTCGTTCTCCGCGCGTACCTCTCTCGAAATACAAACTGATTGATCGCTAAATAAAAACTGGGGAAAGGACAAAGGTCACGGTTCACAAATTGAATTGACTTTTAATTGGTTTTCAATTTGTTTCCAATTGGTTCTCTGTAAGTGCAGTATTTTCAATATTTCATTGAAGCGTAACTCACGTGAAACCTCACTGTTGGAATATGGAACACTCATTGAAGCATAACTCGAATTCACCGATGTTCTTTTCAAATTGACTACCCCTTTTATCGAAGATATAAGAAAAGCGAATCAGTCTGGCTTCCGAGAGACGACAATCCCATCGTAGAATGAAAATGAGAACGAGTGAAACGAATCCGCGGCATGTTTTCAGAGCAAAGCCCCGCCGAAGAGAAGAAACAGAAGGAAGAGAAGAAGCGATACCTGCTGCGGAAGCTCAGCTTTCGACCGACTGTCGAAGAACTTAAGGAAAAGAAGGTAATTTCGAGCGACAACAGATTCAGATCTTCGAGTAACCTTTCGTCTTGCAATATACATTAATAAATTGAGCGCAAATTAAACGAATACAATAAAGTTCGTTATGGGATTTTTTAAACAAAATTGCCCACGTTTCACTTTTCAAATTTCTTGGTTCTTAACGCTAGGTTTACAGAACATCTTAATTTAACACATACCGAATTTTATAAATGTTATTTAGTCATTGATTTTGATTCATGTAATTGCATGGATATATAATCCCAACTATTTATCTTTAAATATCTTATTTTCAAGATTTAAATGAACGAACATAAATTTTCCTAGAAACAATAGAATAAACTGTACAATGAATGTTCGTAGATCTAGTGTTTAAAAAAAAGTAACTGGGCTCGTTAGCGTATCCCTCGTCCAGGTGACGTCAACTTGGAACGTGTTTAAAAGATGGAAGATAGAATATTTGTTTCGTTGACGACAGATCATCAGGTTCAACGACTATATCGAAGTCACGCAGGCCCACGACTACGACCGAAGGGCAGACAAACCGTGGACAAGGTTGACCCCCAAGGACAAGGCAGCCATTAGGAAGGAGCTGAACGAGTTCAAGAGTTCGGAGATGGCCGTTCATGAAGACAGCCGACACCTCACCAGGTATGTGTCCCATTTCTCGAAATTCTTATCTCTAAAGTACACGTTGATTCTGATCGAACTGATATTCAATTGACAACAATCTTCAATTAACACCGAAGTCTCCTATCTTCGACAGTTGTCGAAACATTGGGGTTGAATAATATTCTTGAAAACGTGGAAAAAATCTTGCAATAAAGCCAACGACAAACGAAACAGAATTATTAAACGTATTAATTAGTAAGACAATTTCTTTGCCCGTTAACGAAGACGCAATACAATTTTGAAAGGATGTTGATTAACATTCATTAACCCTCTGCGGACGGAGCGCTTCGAAATTCGATTAGTTTGCACAGAAGGGTCGATTTTGTCGAAGAGAGTTCGTTTGAATTACTTTTCTTTTTTTTTCGTAAATAATATCGATACGATCTGTGACTTTATCGAATAAATTCCATGTTACAGTTTTCTATGAATCGGTGTCATTCGAACACCGATGCGAAGACATGGTTACCGTCTGCAGGTATCGCAATGACAACTAGA